TTTTATAATTTTTTCCTTCTAATTAAATATTTAATGATATATCTTTTCTTCAATATTTAAAAAGTGGCAATCAAATTGGTGATGAAGGTGCATCAGGCTTAGGTTCTGGTTTAGCAAAATTTACTAATCTCTCAAATTTGACACTTAATCTTGAGTAAAAACAGTTTATTTGTTTTGGATTGTGATATTTTTAATTATATAAACTAATTAAAAACAATAAAGCTCTTTTTTCTTTTTCTTTTTATAGTGCTAGCTTTTTTTTTTTGTTTTTTCTTTGTTAATTTAAAAATTCATCATTTTATTTTCAACTTTTGCTTTTATTTTTAATTAACTAATCTTATTATTTCATATTTTTCTTCATTGTTTCCTTCTAATTAAATATTTAATGATATATCTTTTCTTCAATATTTAAAAAGTGGCAATCAAATAGGTGATGAAGGTGCATCAGGCTTAGGTTCTGGTTTAGCAAAATGCATTAATCTCTCAAATTTGACACTTTAACTTTAGTAAAAACAGTTTATTTGTTTTGAATTGTGATATTTTTAATTATATAAACTAATTAAAAATAATAAAGCTCTTTTTTCTTTTTCTTTTTATAGTGCTTGCTTTTTTTTTGTTTTTTCTTTGTTAATTTAAAAATTTATCATTTTATTTTCAACTTTTGCTTTTATTTTTAATTAACTAATCTTATTATTTCATATTTTTCTTCATTTTTTCCTTCTAATTAAATATTTAATGATATATCTTTTCTTCAATATTTAAAAAGTAGGAATCAAATTGGTGATGAAGGTGCATCAGGCTTAGGTTCTGGTTTAGCAAAATTTACTAATCTCTCAAATTTGACACTTAATCTTGAGTAAAAACAGTTTATTTGTTTTGGATTGTGATATTTTTAATTATATAAACTAATTAAAAACAATAAAGCTCTTTTTTCTTTTTCTTTTTATAGTGCTTGCTTTTTTTTTGTTTTTTCTTTGTTAATTTAAAAATTCTTCATTTTATTTTCAACTTTTGCTTTTATTTTTAATTAACTAATCTTATTATTTCATATTTTTTAATAATTTTTTCCTTCTAATTAAATATTTAATGATATATCTTTTCTTCAATATTTAAAAAGTGGCAATCAAATTGGTGATGAAGGTGCATCAGGCTTAGGTTCTGGTTTAGCAAAATTTACTAATCTCTCAAATTTGACACTTAATCTTGAGTAAAAACAGTTTATTTGTTTTGGATTGTGATATTTTAAATTATAAAACTAATTAAAAACAATAAAGCTCTTTTTTCTTTTTATTGTGCTTGATTTTTTTTTGTTTTTTCTTTGTTAATTTAAAAATTAATCATTTTATTTTCAACTTTTGCTTTTATTTTTAATTAACTAATCTTAATATTTCATATTTTTTAATAATTTTTTCCTTCTAATTAACTATTTAATGATATTTCTTTTCTTCAATATTTAAAAAGTGACAATCATATTGGTGATAAAGGTGTATCAGGCTTAGGTTCTGGTTTAGCAAAATGCATTAATCTCTCAAATTTGACACTTAACCTTAAGTAAAAACAGTTTATTTGTTTTGGATTGTGATATTTTAAATAATAAAACTAATTAAAAACAATAAAGCTCTTTTTTCTTTTTATTGTGCTTGATTTTTTTTTGTTTTTTCTTTGTTAATTTAAAAATTCATCATTTTATTTTCAACTTTTGCTTTTATTTTTAATTAACTAATCTTAATATTTCATATTTTTTAATAATTTTTTCCTTCTAATTAACTATTTAATGATATTTCTTTTCTTCAATATTTAAAAAGTGACAATCAAATAGGTGATGAAGGTGCATCAGGCTTAGGTTCTGGTTTAGCAAAATGCATTAATCTCTCAAATTTGACACTTTAACTTTAGTAAAAACAGTTTATTTGTTTTGAATTGTGATATTTTTAATTATATAAACTAATTAAAAACAATAAAGCTCTTTTTTCTTTTTCTTTTTATAGTGCTTGCTTTTTTTTTGTTTTTTCTTTTTTAATTTAAAAATTCATCATTTTATTTTCAACTTTTGCTTTTATTTTTAATTAACTAATCTTATTATTTCATATTTTTCTTCATTGTTTCCTTCTAATTAAATATTTAATGATATATCTTTTCTTCAATATTTAAAAAGTGGCAATCAAATTGGTGATGAAGGTGCATCAGGCTTAGGTTCTGGTTTAGCAAAATGCATTAATCTCTCAAATTTGACACTTTAACTTTAGTAAAAACAGTTTATTTGTTTTGGATTGTGATATTTTTAATTATATAAACTAATTAAAAACAATAAAGCTCTTTTTTCTTTTTCTTTTTATAGTGCTTGCTTTTTTTTTGTTTTTTCTTTGTTAATTTAAAAATTCATCATTTTATTTTCAACTTTTGCTTTTATTTTTAATTAACTAATCTTAATATTTCATATTTTTCTTCATTTTTTCCTTCTAATTAAATATTTAATGATATATCTTTTCTTCAATATTTAAAAAGTGGCAATAAAATTGGTTATGAAGGTGCATCAGGCTTAGGTTCTGGTTTAGCAAAATGCATTAATCTCTCAAATTTGACACTTTAACTTTAGTAAAAACAGTTTATTTATTTTGAATTGTGATATTTTTAATTCTTTGTTAACCCCTTATAGTCTGGGGAGCTAACTTTTGAATGTTTATGAATTTTATAAAATTCTGTGTTTATATGAAAATAATTAATAATTTTGGTTTCTTTATTTTAAAGGTGAAAAAGTCCCCCAGTCGAAAGGGTTAATTTAAAAACTCATCATTTTAATTTCAACTTTTGCTTTTATTATTAATTAATTAATCTTATTATTTCATATTTTTTAATAATTTTTTACTTCTAATTAACTATTTAATGATATATCTTTTCTTCAATATTTAAAAAGTTGCAATCAAATTGGTTATGAAGGTGCATCAGGCTTAGGTTGTGCTTTAGCAAAATGCATTAATCTCTCAAATTTGACACTTGACCTTTTGTAAAAACAGTTTATTTGTTTTGGATTGTGATATTTTTAATTATAAAAACTAATTAAAAACAATAAAGCTCTTTTTTCTTTTTCTTTTTATTGAGCTTGCTTTTTTTTGTTTTTTCTTTGTTAATTTAAAAATTCATCATTTTATTTTCAACTTTTGCTTTTATTTTTAATTAACTAATATTAATATTTCATATTTTTTAATAATTTTTTCCTTCTAATTAACTATTTAATGATATATCTTTTCTTCAATATTTAAAAAGTGGTAATTAAATTGGTGATGAAGGTGCATCAAGCTTAGGTTGTGCTTTAGCAAAATGCATTAATCTCTCAAATTTGGCACTTAATCTTCGGTAAAAACAGTTTATTTGTTTTGGATTGTGATATTTTTAATTATAAAAACTAATTAAAAACAATAAAGCTCTTTTTTCTTTTTCTTTTTATTGTGCTTGCTTTTTTTTTTGTTTTTTCTTTGTTAATTTAAAAATTCATCATTTTATTTTCAACTTTTGTTTTTTATATTAATTAATTAATCTTATTATTTCATATTTTTCTTCATATTTTCCTCCTAATTAACAATTTAATGATATTTTTTTCTTCAATATTTCAAAAGTGGTAATTAAATTGGTGATGAAGGTGCATCAGGCTTAGGTTCTGGTTTAGCAAAATGCATTAGTCTCTCAAATTTGACACTTAGTCTTTGGTAAAAACAGTTTATTTGTTTTGGATTGTGATATTTTTTATTATAAAAACTAATTAAAAACAATAAAGCTCTTTAAATTTATCTGATAGCTTTTATTTATTTTATTTTTTTATCTTTTTTATTCCACTAATATTATTTTATTTATTAATTTAAAGAATAATTTTTAATTTTAAAGTTTATTCTATTTGATATTTATTTTAAAATTTACACAAATTTATTTTAAAATTTTTAGCAATTTGAATAAATCATAAAAACCCAAAGTAATAAGCAAGTGTCTTAAATTAAAAAGATTAGTTGTCTTTAATTACTATTGATAAATAGCTGGCGAAAAAAGGATGAATAAATATTAAATGTTTGAATAATATTATATATTTTATTTATTAATATTTTGAAAAAGTGTTTTTAACCTAAAATAAAAATAGATTGATAAATAGATTTTATTATTGATTTTATATTTATAAATATGACTCTTATTTTTGTAAATAAATAAATTATTTATTTATAAAAAATAAAAAAATTAAATCCTCTTATTAAAAATTTATAAAATATTTTATTATAAAAAAAATTCAGTATGCCTACCTACTTTCATATATATATTTCGTAAAAATGATTTTAAATTTTTTAAAACATGTATAATCATAAATTTATATATTTATTTTAATAATTCTTTTTACAGATATTAATTAAATTACTTAAGCGCTTCCAAGATTACTATTCTTGCGGTAGCACTACCACAAGTATTTTAATCCTGGAAGCGCTATAAATTATTAATTAATTATAATTCTATTATAATTTAAATAAATTAGATTTTTTAATAAATAAATAGATAAATAAAAAATAAATTTCATAATAGGTGGCAGGCAAACCATGAAATTTTAGTATGGCATCATGCTATAATTAGAGATATTATAAATATTCCTAAAATTACAGAGATAAAACAAACATAAAAATCTGCTTATAAACATTATTTTAATAATATTTAAGAACATTAACTACTAGGTTTTTTTCAAATATGACTAAGTAAATAACCAGCCGTCTCTAATTCCTGCTATATTTATTTTTAAGTATATGTTTTAAATACAAATATTAAGTTTAAAAAGTGAATGTTAAATTAATTTTTCTGTGATATCTATCTCTTCATAAAACCAAATTTATAAATTAATATTTGATAATTAATTAATTTTTTTTTATTTGTTCTTTTTATCCATTTATAATTAATCAAATTTCATAAGTTGCTATTCAATATCTTTGAAAAGAAAAATAAATGATATAATAGATTAAAGCATATTTGGAATTAGAAGAAGTAATTATTAATTTTTTTATTAATATATTTTAAATTTATATAAATTAATAAAAAAAGTTTTTAAGCTCTTCACTTTTATCTCATTAGGTTCTCCATATTGATTTTAAGTATATTTAATTAAAAAATATTGTTTTTATTATTATTTATATTTTTTGTATATTAAATTTTCAATTTTTTTAAATAAATAATTTTTATAAAAGAAATTATCATCATCATTATTTATTTATTGATTTTTATTAAAAATAAAATTTTTTAGCTATTTTAACTTAATTTTCATTTAAATTTTTAATTATTTATTTATTATTCATTTTTTATTATTTGATATTTTTTCTTCATTTTTGCTATTAAAACTTACAATTAATAAAAGCTATTTATTTGTTTGATATTGTAATATTTTTAATTATAAAAGTTAATTTAAAACATTAATGTTCTTTTAATTTATTTGATTTGTTTTCCTTTTTCTTTTTATTATGATTTCTTATTTTTTCATTCTTTGTTAATTTTTTTATTAATCTTATTATTTCTTCATTTTTTCCTTCTAATTAACCATAGTGAAATACCTATTTAATTTCATTCTAAATAACATTATAAATAAAGCTAATTTTTAGAAAGCATAAAATATCATTTTTTTTGAAAAAAATAAATTTTGAAAACCTAGTTCATATTTTTTAATAATTTTTTCCTTCTAATTAAATATTTAATGATATATCTTTTCTTCAATATTTAAAAAGTTGCAATAAAATTGGTTATGAAGGTGCATCAGGCTTATTTTCTGGTTTAGCAAAATGCACTAATCTCTCAAATTTGACACTTGACCTTGGGTAAAAACAGTTTATTTGTTTTGGATTGTGATATTTTTAATTATATAAACTAATTAAAAACAATAAAGCTCTTTTTTCTTTTTCTTTTTATCGTGCTTGCTTTTTTTTGTTTTTTCTTTGTTAATTTAAAAATTCATCATTTTATTTTCAACTTTTGCTTTTATTTTTAATTAACTAATCTTATTATTATTATTTTTCTTCATTTTTTCTTTCTAATTAACTATTTAATGATATATCTTTTCTTCAATATTTAAAAAGTTGGAATGAAATTGGTGATGAAGATGCATCAGGCTTAGGTTCTGGTTTAGCAAAATGCATTAATCTCTCAAATTTGACACTTAACCTTGGGTAAAAACAGTTTATATGTTTTGGATTATGATATTTTTAATTATAAAACTAATTAAAAACAATAAAGCTCTTTTTTCTTTTTCTTTTTATCGTGCTTGCTTTTTTTTTGTTTTTTCTTTGTTAATTTAAAAATTCATCATTTTATTTTCAACTTTTGCTTTTATTTTTAATTAACTAATCTTAATATCTTTTCTTCAATATTTAAAAAGTGAAAATTAAATTGGTGCAATGGGTGCATCAGGCTTAGGTTCTGGTTTAGCAAAATGCATTAATCTCTCAAAATTTGATACTTTACCTTTTGTAAAAACAGTTTATTTGTTTTGGATTGTGATATTTTTAATTATATAAACTAATTAAAAACAATAAAGCTCTTTTTTCTTTTTCTTTTTATTGCGCTTGCTTTTTTTTGTTTTTTCTTTGTTAATTTAAAAATTCCTCATTTTATTTTCAACTTTTGCTTTTATTTTTAATTAACTAATCTTAATATTTCATATTTTTTAATAATTTTTTCCTTCTAATTAAATATTTAATGATATATCTTTTCTTCAATATTTAAAAAGTGATAATCAAATTGGTGATGAAGGTGCATCAGGCTTAGGTTTTGCTTTGGCAAAATGCATTAATCTCTCAAATTTGACACTTAAATTTGGGTAAAAACAGTTTATTTGTTTTGGATTGTGATATTTTTAATTATATAAACTAATTAAAAACAATAAAGCTCTTTTTTCTTTTTCTTTTTATCGTGCTTGCTTTTTTTTTGTTTTTTCTTTGTTAATTTAAAAATTCATCATTTTATTTTCAACTTTTGCTTTTATTTTTAATTAACTAATCTTATTATTATTATTTTTCTTCATTTTTTCCTTCTAATTAATTCTTTAATGATATATCTTTTCTTCAATATTTCAAAAGTGGCAATCAAATTGGTGATAGAATAGAATAGAAATACTCGCACATATAAATGCACTCAGAATATATCTTAAAAAAATATTAATTTATGTTAGTTATATATAATTTTATTTAAGAATTTTAAAAATAGTTTTATTTATTTTGTTAATTTTTCTTTTAACCTCTCATACTTAGAAGTGCACTTTTAATTTAAAAATTTATAAAATATTTTATTATAAAAAAAATTAAGTATGCCTACCTACTTTCATATATATATTTCGTAAAAATGATTTTAAATTTTTTAAAACATGTATAATCATAAATTTATATATTTATTTTAATAATTCTTTTTACAAATATTAATTAAATTACTTAAGCGCTTCCAAGTGAAATTTTTGTATGGCATCATGCTATAATTAGAGATATTATAAATATTCCTAAAATTACAGAGATAAAACAAACATAAAAATCTACTTATAAACATTATTTTAATAATATTTAAGAACATTAACTACTAGGTTTTTTTCAAATATGACTAAATAAATAACTGGCCGTCTCTAATTTCTGCTATATTTATTTTTAAGTATATGTTTTAAATACAAATATTAAGTTTAAAAAGTGAATGTTAAATTAATTTTTCTGTGATATCTATCTCTTCATAAAACCAAATTTATAAATTAATATTTGATAATTAATTAATTTTTTTTATTTGTTCTTTTTATCCATTTATAATTAATTAATTAATAAAATTTCATAAGTTGCTATTCAATATCTTTGAAAAGAAAAATAAATGATATAATAGATTAAAGAATATTACAAATTAGAAGAAGTAATTATTAATTTTTTTATTAATAACTT